CTTATCTTCTCACCACTCTCTACGACAGATGACCTTGGAGCAGGTCCAGGATTTCGCCTACGACAAGTTCAACATCAGCCTGGAGAACATTCAACTGCTTTTTGTTCAGGCCGGTAAGTCATTTCACATACAGGGGAGTCCGTTTAATCGCAATACGTTTAGTCAGAAAACAGCAGTAAACAGAAAGAAAGTGAAATCCTCCATTTTGATTTCTTCTGTCTCAGCAATCTCTCTAAATCTGTCCCCGCAGAATTATGCAAATTTAGATGGCCAAATTATGCACACAAAAAAAAAAAAAAAGAAGCAAAATTATGCAAAAATTATGCAAGTTACCATAACACCATTCGCGACATATTTTGCACTTTTTCATGCTTTATTTACAGAAAAATTGAAAACAGAACATATCAGTATCAGTAATTTGTTGTGTATTTGGAATGAAAACAATGCACGTCAGTCAGAAAAAAACAACAACCAAGAAATATAACCTCTGTAACTTTCAGCTGTAGATCAAGATCTATTGTTTTTGTTTTTTCTTTCTATTATTATTATTATTATCATTATTGTTGTTGTTATTATTATTATTATTATTATTATTATTATTATTATTATTATTATTATTATCAATATTGTCATGCTATTATTATTGTCACAGTCATTGTCATGATATCAACATTATTGTCTCAGTCATTATCATTATGTGGTCATTATTGTCACTGTCATTATCATTATGTCGACATTATTGTCACTGTCATTATCATTATGTTGTCATTATTGTCTCAGTCATTATCATTATGTTGACTTTATTGTCGCAGTCATTATCATTATGTTGACATTATTGTCACTGTCATTATCATTATGTCGTCTTTATTGTCACTGTCATTATCATTATGTCGTCTTTATTGTCACTGTCATTATCATTATGTTGACTTTATTGTCACAGTCATTATCATTATGTTGACATTATTGTCACAGTCATTATCATTATGTCGTCTTTATTGTCACTGTCATTATCATTATGTCGTCATTATTGTCACTGTCATTATCATTATGTTGACTTTATTGTCACTGTCATTATCATTATGTTGACATTATTGTCACTGTCATTATCATTATGTCGTCATTATTGTCACTGTCATTATCATTATGTTGACTTTATTGTCACTGTCATTATCATTATGTTGACATTATTGTCACTGTCATTATCATTATGTCGTCTTTATTGTCACTGTCATTATCATTATGTTGACTTTATTGTCACAGTCATTATCATTATGTTGACATTATTGTCACAGTCATTATCATTATGTCGTCTTTATTGTCACTGTCATTATCATTATG